ATTAGACATAGATAGTTTCCTAAAAAAAAATTAAATATTCCTAATAGACCGAAAAACACATTTGTATAAATTAAGAAGCTGTTCATAACTATTGTGCTGACCAGGGCATATTTGTGATTCTCTATCTTCTTGAATTTGTTTTTTCTATTTATAAACCCAATAGGAATTGAACCTAGTGCCAGGAAGCATGGAATACATTTGTCCAAAAAGAATGTTAAAAACATAATTGTCTCCTTCCTGTTAGAGTCATATTTTTGTTTGTTGTTACGCGACCATTGTTTTGGCTGATCACTTTTGCGGTTTGACTGCGCGTCGCGGTTCTTCCTAGCTGTTCTTCTTAGGCGTTATCCTTTGCAGCTCACCTATGCAGCTCTCCTTTGAGGTTCCCCTTTTGGGCGCACTTTCTTGGCTCACGTTCTCCCTCTTCAGCTCCAGCTCTTTTTTCCTACTGTGTTTACTTGGCAAATGTGTACACAAACGAGCGTCCCTTTATTCTTCCAATGCATAACCCTTTTACTACTTAATCACTCTTGCAATATTTGTAAATTTTTTCCTATTCAAAAATGGGATTTTTACACACTACAGATGATATAAGTACACAGCTAAGAAGAATCCGTTTTTGTTTTGTCTATCGTGTGCATACATTTACAGCTGGACATGTCAAACGTGAGACGTTTACATGTGAATATACATACGTGTTGGAGTTTGATAAAAAAAAAAAAAAAAAAGGAATTAACGCGTTGCATACACATATGCATATATACGTACTTATGTACAGGCGTACGCATGTACGTATGAAAGTTTACTCCTAAACACGGAAATCACACGTTTGAAACACAAAAACAAATCACTCGAAATGGATTGATACAATGGGACTGACGATCTATAGCATTGTGCGTTTCATTTATCATTAATCAAACGACGAAATGGAGAAAAAAAAAAAAAAAGAAAAGAAAAAAGATATTCATAGGGGTGTTAAACTCGTCATACTAATATACATAATGCTTCAACGTGTGCGTAATTATATCATAAAGAGTGCTTTTATATGTATTTCCTCCTTATTCATTTTTTTTTTTTTTTTTTTTCTTATAAAATGTTATAAACTAAAACTTATTCATGCTTATGCATATTGTTATTAACTCTGAATGGTATTTTTTTTTGTTTTTTCAATATTCGAAAAAAAAAGAAATAAATTTGTAAAAATAAAATATAATCGTTTGAATGTGGATTTTTTTTTAAGTACACAACATACACTGCATAGTTTTCATTATAATTATTTTTTTTAACACAAGGTAAGAAGTGATCAAGCGCGCGATTAAAAAATGTATAATCAATAATCACGTTTTGCCATATGTACACAATTGCCTACATACGTACAATAACAGTGCCTACCTCTTTAACCCATATGCGTATTGGATATGCAAAATCGTCACGACTCCTCTGCTACACTATGCTGTGCCACGTTATATACTCATTTTATACGTACATATTCCCACGTCCGCATTCGCGATCTCTTACATTGAGAACAAAAAAAAAAGAGTGTTAATTTACCGTTACCGCCAATTTTTTCCCTAAAGCCGCAAGTAGGCAATTTACATGTGGTCAAATAAAATAAAACTTGTTTACTACTGCTTTATAACTAAAAAAAACAAGAAAGCTTTTACATATACGTTACGTTGTTACATATGTATTACAAACAAATAATGCTTGTGAAACAAAATTTCGATGACAAGTACTAAACACAGGGTTGTTAAAATAGTGCAGTTGGAATAACGTAAAAAATGAACACATATTTTGTGTGTTGATATGTGCGTGGACACACAATTATGCTAATAATGCAGAATTTGCAAAAAAATAAATAAATAAAACTTAAACAGCGAAAGAGAAATTCAATTAAAGTAACATGATAAAATAGTGATATAATCACGATACAGTAACGATACAGTGACTGCGCGGTCTGGCTCAACTGCGTAGCCAGGCGCAAAATGGATTTCTCTCGTATACGAGGTTTTCAAGGGGGGGAGGAAATAAAACTGGAGAAAGTTATTCATGCGTCAAAACGTATGCGCACATGAACAGATAGGCCTTCTCGTTTATCTTTCCTTTAATGGATGATTCAAATAACTACATTATATAAAAAACCACTAAAACGGAAACAAAATTGAACTGCGTCAAATGGTCTGAGCAACAAACAGGATTATTAGTGAGCTCAAAAAAAGAGTTAGTTAATTTTATTTGGCAGACTTTCTTTTATTTAGAATGTCCACAATGTTATGGGCCACGTTCATAATTCCATTTAACTGCAATCCACACTTGAAGCATTTTTTATTTTTCTGAAACATTTCAATGAAACACTTTTCACAGAAATAATGGGAACATTCAGTGACACTTGGATTCATTTCTAGTTTCCATTTCCTTTTGCATTTTATGCAAGCAAATGGGAGATTATTTTCGCCATCACTTGAGTCGCTGTCAGAGTTTTCCTTTTCTGTGCAGGAAGAAACTGCGGATAAGTCGGGGGATTCCCCCCCATTATTTTCTCCTTCAATTTGTGCACTTTTCCCGTGTCCTCCATCGTCCCCATCTTCGGAGTTTCCCAATAATTCCTCCTTCTCCTTTAACTTTCGCAACATTTTTTCGTTCCATTTTTCTAATTTTTCCTTTCGCAGAGCTTCATTTCGCTTTCGCTTTTCCTCATACTCCTGTTCAATTTTCCACCCACTTTTGTAGTCACTTCTGTCGTGTAAAAAAATGCACGTATCTCCAAATCCACAATAACCCGTTTCCTTGTAGTCCTTACATATGCACGGTTCATAGTCAATCCTCAGAGTGACTCTTACATTCGCGCCGCTATTTCGTACTGGGCCGTACAGTCCTGTGTATTTATTTTTGGCCAAGCTATCTTTGCTGATCATTAGAGCTTTTTCATGAGCATCCTTTCCTCTATAAACATTGTCCTTTAAGTTCCCCTTAAGTATTTCTTCTCCTATTTCGATGTTTCTTTCCATTCTGGCCCTATAGTCATTCTTCGAGTCTTCGTCTATATCGTACGAGCCATAATTTTTCGAAACGGAGAAATCTCCCTTGTACACCCTATCTTCTGTTATGTTAGATTCCTTAACGTCTTCACTCTTTGATTGTATCATCACTTTGTGTTTTCTTTTTAAATGCAAATTGTTCTCTTCATTCATCTTCTTTAATTTTTTCTTGAACAGAAATTTACACACCACATCGTCCTCATCATCATTGTCATTACTGCCTGTTTTTTCTTGTAGATCGCCTTTGTTAACATGCCTGTCTTTTTCATTAATACTATCTAGGTTTTCATCATTTGGGTTTTCCTCCCTTTTGGCTTTTTTTTCTTCACTGCTATTGCCTTCTTCATCTTTTATATCCTCCGTTTTCTTTCGATGTTTTAAATTACTTATGGTTCTCTTCCTAAACATTTTTTTTTTCCCCTGTTGTTTGTTTATAAAATACTAAAATGCTCACATGTAGGTGATGAACTACTACTACGTGAACGATCTGTATGCAGGTGTCGACTGATGTGTAATGTCCATCCGTACGCAATTCTTCATTAACACAGAGGCCTCCGATAGGTTCCTATTTGTTCTTTTCCTGTTCGTACCCCCCTTCCTGTCTTTTATATTCAGTTGGGCTTTCTTCTACCGTTTTCGGCTGTTAATGCCACGTTTCTTGCCACTTCCTTTTGGATGCCACTTTTCCTGTGCCTATCTCCCAGTTCCTATTAGCTCCACGTGCATTGAAGGTTACACTTATGTGAAAAACAAGGACTTTGTTCTACTAAATTTCGTAGGTTTAAAACAAATTCAGGCGTCTTCATGGAAAAGTGCTTCACTTTTTAAAGTAACAAAGGGACGTCTTCAAAAAAAAAAAAAGAAAAGAAAAGAATGCATTTATGCAATTCTCTCATGAATTGTCCACAGGGCTATTAATGTTGCGACGTTTCCTTTCTCAACTCTATCAGAAAGTTTTGACCAAAAGCATCCATTACAGTACATTGCCCATGTTGGGCTGCTATTCGCCCCTTTGCGTTCGTATATGCATATACTTTATACATTCATTTCCTAGGTATTGTTTTAATTTTTTTCACTTCCCTTCAATTTTAGCATTTACATGTTAACTTTATATTTGCTTCATTATTTTTTTTTCTCTATGCCTGCTGGAAAATTCAGCAAGCATGCTTTTGTATGACAAAGTTGGCGTGATTTAGGCCCAATCCTTTGTCACATTCGTTCACTCTAATTTTGTTTTATTAGCAGACTAATATTGCAAAAAAAAAAAAAAAAAAAAGGCATTCAATTAAATCCCTTTCGGATTAACCGAGAAAGGGAAAAAAAAAAAAAAAAAAAAAAAAAAAAAAGGCATTCAATTAAATCCCTTTCGGATTAACCGAGAAAGGGAAAAAAAAAAAAAAAAAAAAAAAAAAAAAGGGTTTAAAGAGCTGCCCCCCATGCGGACCCGGATTCGGAAAAGCGCCTCATGTGGAATTACATGTATAGCACCAAAAAAAATAAGCAAATACAAACAGTTAACAAAATTAACGAAATTAGCCAAATTAGCTAAATTAACAAAATTAACACAAAATGCTTACACGTGCGGAAAGGTCAGGAAGAATTTGATGATGCCAAAAAAACACATTCCAAAATAGGGATATATAAAAAAAACAGAACGTGTGAAACTTCTCACCAGTTCGCATACCTGCCCACTTTTAGCCGTTAACCCACAACACGATTGCAGCAAACATTTGTGTCACGAAAAAACATGTGTAAAATCTTGCAAAGGCTGCTAATGAGCAACTGCTAAATTTTGCTTCTTTCACGTAAACCAGATTTTTGCCTATAACGCACGTGCATACATGTTTTTACATGAATCACACCTTTCGTGCTGGGGGCAAGCTGGTGTAGTGTAAAATATAGGACGCTTTCACCTCAACACGTGTTCCCTGAACAGAAAAACAAAACGTTAAGTTGCGAAAAATGCAAAATGCTCGTGTTGCGAACAAAATAACACTAATACTATGTCTCCTTTTTGCTGCCCTCCTAAAACCAAATGACGTAACAGAAGCGTATAATATAGCTCGGAATGCAGAAAAATTAAACTACATATTAAATTACAAAAATGGCAATAGGTATCGCACAGATAATAGGATAAATAAAACGTTTTTTAAAAAAAAGGAACTTAGGGAAAATGCATTAAACAGCTTTAATGATGACGTGAAGACAATTAGGGAAGACATATCGTCAGAGAGTTCTCCGGTGGAAAAGTACAATTTCAAAGCAGAGGTGAATAAAGTTATGGATATAATAGTTAATTCTTTATACACGGATAAGGATGTATTTCTGAGAGAGCTAATTTCGAACGCGTCGGACGCCTGTGACAAGAAAAGGATAATACTACAAAACGAAAAACAAATGAAAGAAGCACAGAATATAGCGAACGCACCAGGTGTAGAAAAAAGAGACATGGAAAAATCAGTTCCTGAGGGAGCTAGCAAAGATGGAGAGGTAGAAAATAAAGAACAAGTTGATGAAATAAAAAAGCTAATCATAAAAATCAAACCAGATAAAGAAACCAAAACGCTAACCATTACAGATAATGGAATTGGTATGGACAAATATGAACTCATTAATAATTTAGGAACGATCGCTCAGTCGGGGACTGCCAAATTCTTAAAACAAATTGAAGAAGGGAAGGCGGATAGTAACCTAATTGGACAATTCGGAGTTGGTTTCTACTCCTCCTTTCTGGTGTCCAAAAAAGTGGAAGTATTCACAAAGAAGGAAAATACAATCTTTAGATGGTTCTCCGATCTGAATGGCAGCTTTATGGTGAACGAAATAAAAAAGTATGAACAGGAATATGACGACATAAAATCAAGTGGAACCAAAATTGTCTTACATTTGAAAGAGGAATGCGACGAGTATTTGGAGGATTATAAGTTAAAAGAACTAATCAAAAAATATTCCGAGTTCATTAAATTCCCTATCGAAATTTGGTCAGAAAAAATTGATTACGAAAGAGTTCCAGACGATTCGGTGTCCCTAAAAGATGGAGATAAAATGAAAATGAAAACGATAACAAAAAGATATCACGAATGGGAAAAAATTAACGTGCAGTTACCAATATGGAAGCAAGACGAAAAACAACTAACTGAAAATGATTACTATAGCTTTTATAAAAACACCTTTAAGGCATATGATGATCCGTTAGCCTATGTCCACTTTAATGTAGAAGGACAAATCTCTTTCAATTCCATTTTATACATCCCAGGATCCCTCCCATGGGAATTGAGTAAGAATATGTTTGATGAAGAATCAAGAGGAATTCGGCTCTACGTCAAAAGAGTTTTCATAAATGATAAATTTTCAGAATCTATACCCAGATGGTTAACCTTTTTAAGAGGTATTGTAGACAGTGAAAATTTGCCTCTAAATGTAGGAAGAGAAATTTTACAAAAGTCAAAAATGCTTTCTATTATCAACAAAAGAATTGTTCTTAAAAGTATCAGCATGATGAAAGGACTTAAAGAAACCGGAGGAGAAAAATGGAATAAATTTCTCAACACGTTTGGAAAATATCTCAAAATTGGAGTCGTGGAGGATAAGGAAAATCAGGAAGAAATAGCCTCCTTAGTTGAATTTTATTCCATCAATAGTGGAGATAAAAAAATCGATTTAGATACATACATAGAAAATATGAAACCGGATCAGAAGTGTATCTATTACATTTCAGGGGAAAATAAAAAAACCGCGCAAAATTCACCCTCTTTGGAAAAATTGAAAGCACTAAATTATGATGTGCTTTTCTCCCTAGAGCCGATAGATGAATTTTGCTTGTCGTCCTTGACTGTTAATAAATACAAAGGGTACGATGTCTTGGATGTGAACAAAGCGGACTTGAAGCTAAAAAAAGAAAACGATCAAAACCAAACGGATAGTCTGGATAAGATAAAAATGAAATACGAAGTATTATGCAGATGGCTACATAACAAATTTTCTCACAAAGTTCATGAAGTTCGAATTTCCGACAGATTGATTAACTCTCCAGCTTTGCTAGTTCAAGGCGAAATGGGCATATCCCCTTCTATGCAAAAGTACATGAGACAACAAGCCACCGCGCAAGGAATGTCAGAGAATGAAATGTTCGGGGGACAGTCAGCCAATCAACCAGTGTTAGAAATTAATCCAAACCATTACATCATCAAACAGCTAAATCATTTAATACAAATAGATAAAATGAATTCGCAAAATTCAGAAATTGCAGAACAGATATTTGACATTGCTTCCATGCAGGGGGGGTACACCATTGATGACACGGGTCTTTTTGCAAAACGGGTCATAGGGATGATGGAAAAAAATGCCCAGAATTATTTGATGAATGTTCAGGGTAATCTGGACGACAAACCTTCAGAAAGTAGCCTGTCTAGCAGTTCAGAACAGGCAACGAATTCTGCGCAGCTTGATACAACTCAGGGCAACGCAGGCGAGAATAGCCCAGGGCTTGACAAACCAACCGATTCAAGCGAGTCCGTCGGATTAAGTGAATCCAACGCAGACGCAAGCAGCACGGACGGACAAGGCGACGAAAGGTTGACAGCCAGCAATTTAGACGGCTTGGGTGGAGACAAGGCAAGTGCAAATTCAAACAACATAAGTGCAGACGTCTTACGCGATAACACCTTGGATGGAAATAAAATGAATGGGTTGGATTCAAACTTGTACAACATTGATCGAAACATTTTTAATGACAAAATGTTTAGTGCCTCGGACAAAACCGTCTTATGATGCGGAAGCATAGGACGAGTAGGCTGGTAATAGGCCACCTTAATTATCAACCATTTTTTAAATGCACACATGTGAGGGTGTTCATGTGCATGCACGTTCCACATAACTGAGACGAGGAAAATCACAAGCGTGTATATTTTCCCAAGTCACCGCTTCAAGTTATGTTTCACTCATTTGTCTAATCATTACAGTGACATATATATATGTATATCCTTTTTTGAATTTATTCATTCTCGCAAGGTTGTTTGGAATCTTCACGTGTGTATACATATCTGCTCTGTAAATTTTTCAAATGTTTTTTTTTAATAATCCTTACTAAATTAGGAATTAAATTAACTCTGAAAATTTAATTCTGTGCGTAATATGTGAATATTTTTATGTGCATTTTATTTTATTTATTTTGTTTCCCCCACTTGTAAAATAAATGTATATTCCTCCTCATGACATTTAAAATTTACACACTCTCTTGCATCTTTTACAAATGTTTTCAAACGTTTGGACAGTTCCAACGCAATATATTGTTGTCCTTTTTTTTTTTTTTTTTTTTTTAAGTTTTAAGCAATTTTTTTTAATAGAATAATAAGTAGTACGCCTCGCACTTATCAAAAAGTGAGTAGGCTTCCTCAAATTGCGCACACCCTTTGGACATGTTCAAAGTATAGCAGTTTTCGCTGCTGGTGGGAGTTGCCACGTAAACTCGTATGTAATGCAATTTATTATCCCCGGGACAATAACGAGGACACGTACTTTCAAAACAACGTCGTCTTCCCCCCCGTGCGAATCCGTGTACATAGCTATTCATAAAAGATGCAAAAATTCATCGAAAAAGTTAAGCAGCAAAATGCACAAGGGGACAATTCCCCAAATAAGCTATTACCGACCAAAAGGATCCAATTTAATAATATACTGTACGAAATGGGGAAAAAAAAAATACTCAACTTTGAACTTGATTTGTGACGAGAGAAAAAATAAAATAATAAAATTGAGCACAAATGAGCAACTCCCTGCATACAACCATTTGTACACCATCCAAATAACCCTTTAGGGAAAAGAAAAAAATAGAACAAGACAAAGCAGAGCATGTCAAACTGTTAAAAGTTGTTAAAGAGTACTATCTCACTAAGCTGAAAAGACGTGCATTTTGTGCAATTACAAATGATTATTATAAAATGCAGAGCTTTTTATGCGTTCTTAAATTAAGCGATCTTCGGAGAAGACGGAAACTCGTTTTTCTATCCTTTCTGTAAAACCAAAACACGTATAAAAAGATGTGTATAGAAAATGAACACCACAGCTGATGTTACATGTGCTTATTTTATTTATTTATTTTTTTTCCTTACCACAACAGAAAACATAAATGTTCAAGCAAGTTGGCAAAATGTGTTACCCAATCTATCACCCGTTTCATTGACGCAAAACAGAGAAAAATGGTAACATTCCGCTGCTTCCAAATTATCAAAAATAAATTCTTGGCCACAAAAGGAGCATATTTGAAAGTACAGCGTAGGCATTTACCCACATGAATTTGTCAAAACGTTAATTTGTGCACACGATGTCGTAATGCGTACATATGAGCTAATGTGTGCATTTATACACACAAAATCCTTTCCTTGCTTATCTATTTATGTACTTTTTTTTTTTTTTTTAAGATAAGAAAAAGGAGAATTGATGAGATTATGAAGAGTACATTTTACAAATGGTTGGACTTAATTGCAAAAAAAGTGGAAAACAAATTTGAAAAGGCACGTCGTTATTACATGTTAAGAAAAAAGCAGAGGATTTTTTATCTATGGAAACGAAGCATAAACGATGAAAAGTTTTTTAAAAAAGTAGATAAAATTTTTCTCAAGCTGGAAGCAATTGTGTCTTCTTGGACAAAAAGGTGACATCATTCAGCAGTAACTTGCTCTATTTTATTTTACTGTCCTGTCAAATAATACATCCACGTGATGTCATCCTCCGACTTGATTATGAGCTTGCCTGAAAAAAAGGAGAATAGAGAGAAATGTGCAAACAGAAATTTCATTTTCGCAAAACTGAGTAAAAATGAACAGCAGAAGTAAAACCTCCACATGGTCGTATATAGACATGTGTGTGTCCTCGCGCTACACCATTCGGTTGAATATTCACGTTTGCTCTTACCAGAGATGGCACTTGTTGCTTTGCATTTGACTGGTATATGAACTGTTTGGCGTGCTTCCACTTTGGTGACTTCAAATGGGACAGAGAAGAATTCGTCCGTCTTAGGGGGGGAAAAAAAAAGGGACGAGGCAGAAATGAAGACAAGATAAGAACAAACAAGGGCATATTAACATATACACCCACGCATACGTCCTTTCCCTCGAAGTTGCACTTGTTAATTCTCACGAGCGCTATATTACTTTTAAAAAAAACTGCTTCATGTGAAAGAACGGATTCGTAAATGAAATGAGTGTAGTTTTTTGCGATGAGCAGAATATCGGTCCCTTAGGTTTCGGCGCCACACTTTTCCCGATTAGCAGCCCCTGCAAAGGAATTTAGCGTTACGAGTATGTTTAAGGGTTCGGCAGTGCCTTGTGAGAATGTATATTTCCGTATATAGGTGCACTGCTGCATGTGTATACAGGCGCGTGTCGCTCGCTTATTCATCATTTGATCATTCGATTGTTCCACAATGAAAAAGTGTCACACATTTTCATTTTTCTTTTTTTTTTTTTTTCATTTCCGCGCTTTATTTTTTAACAACCTTGTAAATGATGCCCTCCTTCGAGAGAAGCTTCAAAATAGCCTTATGCGTCTGCACATCGGGGGGGTTATATTTGACGGTAAGGTTAATCTTCTCCGTCAAGTTATTGAGAGTCTCGTTCTTTAAGAACAAATTTGTATCCACAGATTTAGCACTCAGGGATTTGTCGACGCACTGGAATATCTGCTTGGAGTTTTTATTCTCGTCGTCATAATCTTCTATGACCACGTCGTAATTAATTTTCTGGTTGCACACATTTGTAAAAGATATTTCATTTATTTGAATAGACCCCAAATCAGTGTTGAAGTAAAAGTTATCATCGAAATCATTCATATTTACGTTGAGAATAAATTTGAATTTGTACGTTCCTGTTGTCTTATTAGCAAACGAAATGGTGACGTCTTTGTCGATCTCGTTTCTGACGATGCAAAAGTATATATTAATATTATTATTTTTTTTGCTCTGGAGAATTATAGACTTATCCAAAAATGCGTAAGTGTAGTCAAGGACTGCATCCATTTTTATATTCTCATCCAGGGGGTTATAAATGCTCACTTGCTCTTTTAATATTTCTTTTTTATTTCCCTTTACATTTTTTATGGAAAGAAATTCGCTTTTGGTTATTTCAAACTGCAGGAGAATCTTATACGCGTCTTTATATTTTTCATTCGAAAAGGTCAGCATCACATGGTAGGTTGCTTCCTTCAATGATATGACTTTAAATGGCATGTTTTTTTCCTCCTTATTGCTTAGCTCCAACTTGTTTTGTATCTGCGGGTAGGGAGGTATATTGGGGGTGCGCATTTATTTTTTTTTTCTCTCCACGTTTGCGCGACCAGGCACGTGGATGTGTACTGCCTATTCGATGCTGCTATACGTTACGCATTTCGTTTAATTATACTTCGTTTGACCATGTTTTTTTTTTTTTTTTTTTCTGTTAATTTGCTGCCCCCCTGGCATTACGCCTAACTGCCTACAGCTGCACTTACGTAAAAAAAGAAGCAGTCGCTATGCGAAATGTTCAAGTCTTTGTCACAAACAAGAGACGAAACGAACAGTGTCTGGTTTTCATTTAGCCAGTTCTTTATTCTGATGGAAGCACTGTTCAAAACCTTTGATTTGAAATTGAAAGTTTTCTTCTTGTCGTAAGTGATACTATTCGCATAGCCTAATAAGGTATAATTCTTCACCACGTCCTTGGGATAATAAATTACGAGCTTGGATATATGATGAATTTTGGGAAAATATTTCAAATATTTTAAGCACAAAGTGTTGTGACAGTTATTACTGTTGTTCTTCCTTTTCTGCACAAAAAGAGGATTATAAACGATTTGAAATGTTCCACTTTCGTTCGGTTTCACAACGTCTTCATGTTTTTCCAGCGAGAAAAAATTGTTCTCATGGGACAGGAACTTATATTTCATTTTAAAATTAGATTCTGTTTCGTTGTATATTTCGATGGTCTTGCTAATTTGTTTTCTGATGTCCGTCAGGAATGTGACAATGGTTTCATTTTTTAAGCGAATTGTACTAACGTTTTTGTTGTCATAATCGGTGATTTCACCTTTTTCTTTTTTTTCGCTTTTTTCGGAGTTGTCTGCACCTTGTTTTTTGCCGTCTTCATTTTGATCCTCCTCAACACCGGCGGTCTTCCTATCATTGACGGTCTCCCCACTCTGTACATTTCCCCCTGCAGTGATTAACTTCGAATTATTCACATACCCACTCCTACACTTGTTCATGTCATTACGCGTATTAATAAATATGTTTAAAAAAATTTTGCTATTGATTTTATTAAATTTGGGGAGCAAATCCACGGACACATCGTTCAGGAACAAATCCTTCGTTACGAAATCGGTGTCCACGAAGATGTAAATGCTTGTTAAGTTGAAGGAAAAGATAATCCCTTTTTTTGGATATACGTGCAAGAATTTATCGTACTTTTGCGGGTACACAACTTGAAACTGGGCATTCATGTCGCCCCTGTTGTGCAGTTGGATTTCCCTTCCTTTTATGGAGTCCTTTTGGTGCGCGCCCTTGAACAGCTTTTCCTTAACTTCGTCAACTTGGCTAACTTCTCCCGCTTGGATAACTCGAGTTGCTTCTCCACAGCACAGGGCGCGCTCTTCCTTTTGCCCCGCCTTGTTAAAGGTGAGCAAATTCTCTTTCAGAACAATTTTGTAGCATATGCTCTTCAACTTAATGCTCGTCAAGTAATAGGCTATTCTTTTCCCCCGGTAGCTTATACTCAGGTATAGGGGAATCTGAAGGTTAAGATACTTTTCTGGGAGGAATTTCACCTCGAATGTCTTTTTTTCCTTCTTATGTAAGATGTGCAAAACAGAATTATCAAACTTGACAAACGAGAGGTAGTGCTTCTCCAAGTAGGCATAATTTAATACGTTAAAAGATATATCTTCTGAATTCTTATTATGAAGTGTAAATTTTGAAATGCTTTCTTTATCCACATGTACATTCTCAAAATAAATTTCGTTCGAATTATTACTAGAAAACGGCAATTTGAAATGTGTAGCTGATCCTGTTAGATATATGTAAACCATTTTGTCCACATCTGCGTTTATCATAAAAGGTATTTTGTAGTTATAATTCTTTTCTTCATTTGGTTTAAATTGGATAAGAAGACAAATCTTGCTTTTTCTTTTCAGGTGTATCTTTTTTCCAAGGTTTGTTATGGTAAGACATTCCTCATTCAATTCATATTCTATATAACAATCCACATCATTATTGTTGCTAATGACAAGTTTTGTTTCTACCGCATTGTTGTTTTCTTTTTCTGATAGAACGTCCATTTCGTTCTCTGCATAACCTTTTTGCATTTTCCCCTCTTTAATTTTGGATCCCACAACATTCGTGACTTTGTCCTTTCCTCTTTTTGTACTTTGGCTCAAATCGGCAGCGTTTGTTTTGCTTTGGTCTTTTTCATGTTCTGTTTCCTCACCTTTGCTTTTTTCCGTACCGGTTTTGTGTTTCTCCTTGTTTCTCTTCCCCTCTTTGTGACCTTCTTTCGATTTGTCCCCCCCATTATCCTTCTCGGGGTGTTCAGCGGCGTCCCCCGTTTTGGTCTCATCCCCCTCTTCGTCCATTCCATTCTGTGTCTTATCCTTGCTCGTTTTCCTGTCCTTCTTGTCCTGCTTCTCTTTTTTGTGCTTTTTCTTCTTGCCCTTTTTATGCTTCCCGGTTGTACCCTGCGCGTCTTCGCCAGAGAGTGCCTTGGCTTTCTCCTCCTCGCGCTCCTTCACCCTCTTATCCCTTTCATTATTTTTGAAGGTGTGAATCAAAGACGATAGTGAGCTATCACTAGAGGAAATACTGTCCTCACGGATCTGATCTGTGTTCGTTATCCCCTTCACCTTAGCGGTGTCATCCAAAACCGGGAACAACATAACGTTGCCAAAGTCATAATTGTAAAAGGAAAAATTAATTAAAAAGCTAATCGCAACTGCAGTGATTTTTATATTAATAAGATAGTAGTCCATAATATTAATGGTTAAGTAGTTAACATATGTTTGATTCTTCAAAGGGTTATACTCAACAGAAATGGAATAGGTGGAGTTCTGGGGAATACAATCCTGACTACACTCTATACGAATGTCTTCATCTTTTTTTTGTAAGTAGTATTTATAAACCATATCGAAATTGCCTAAATTTTCAATAACAAATTTGGAGACTTTTTTTTGTCCTATTAAGGTTTCCTTAAAATCTATAAGATCGTAAATATGGATCATGTGACTTTTATATTTCTTTTGCTTTCCACTCCATGTGCTGTCTTTCAAATTGAGTTGTACTTTTTCCTTGTCGAAATTTTCAATATAGCAATTTATATTAATTTTACTGACCTGTGTTTTGAAATTAACCTGTAAGGGTGTTTCCTTTGACCCTATTTTGCATAGCAAGTTAAAATTGTAGAACTGTTCGAGGTGTGGTTTAAAGAACAGCTTGATTTTTTTACACCTTCCTTTTCCCCCTACATGTTTAATGTCTCTTACAAATTTGTTGCTATCCATTTTCCATATATTTCTCAGGTAATAATGCAGCAGGAAATACTTACTGCTCTGAGGGATACCATCCTTTCCGTTATTTCCGTCTGGTAGGCTGACACCCGCATTGCTACTCCATTCGCTGTCTGAGTCACTGCCCGAATCGCACGATGTATTTATGTGCTCGCATTGTGGGGAATGCGCTGGGAGCAGGTATTCCTTCTTGTACCTTCCATATAACATGGTTCGTTCATTTTGCGCTCTTTGTTCTACTTTATTTTTGCCAGAACTAAGATTTGATGAAGATGCCGACACGTCTGACGAATTCGTCAACGAGGACGACCAGTTGTCACTATCATTGTGCAGGCTAATATTCTTATAATGGTTTACGTAATTGACCTTTATCCTTTTTTTTACACTTTTCTTCTGTCCAATTAAAGCACCCTTCTTATGAATATCACTCAGGATACCGTTTCCATTAGAATCACTTTTATGCGAATTGCTCGACGTGGAAGTCGCACCAGAGGAGGAGTTCTCATCCGCGATAATTCCCTTTCTATGGTGATCGTCTACTCCTATGGAATTATCCTCATTTAATTTTCTTATCTCCTTGTACATGTACTTATTCTTTCTATAGCATGATTTTACAACTCCCCTAAATGGAACAATCCTGATGGTCTCCTTTTTGCTGTTACACGAGTTGTACGAATTTTGGTCAAACTCAAAGTTGATGTCCATTAGGTCAAAATTGATTAGGTAAAAAACGAAGCAGTAACTTTTTCCTAATATTAAATTATTTATATGTATAGAAGACGTATTAAAAAAGATTAGGGGTTCAATTACTTTGAGATCAAAATCGATGTATTGCTCTTTTTTATCGTTTACATAAAGGTTGTAACGTCCACTGTAGTCCACCGAATTGAAAATGTTAAATAGAAATCGGATTAAAGAAATGTTATATTCATTTACACACCCCTTATAGTTAATACACTCAGAATTATTGTCGTTGTTCTTGTCGTTCTTCTTATTTTCCACGTTCTGTTTGCCGCTACTCAGCAGAAGGGGGCTTCTACCTCGGTTTTCTGGCGTTTCACTGATTTTCTCGAAAAAGTACTGTAAATTCTCATTCGAAATGTTCAGCATGTATATTTTATGATGTATTTTTTGTAACATTCCCCTGCTGAGTACAAACATTTTGTGTGCTTTGGGGACATTTTTCTTCTCTTCCATATTAGCCACAACACCGTTGTGATTCCAGCCCGTCAAAACAAATACATTGCTGTGATTGTAATTTTCGAATGTCATTTTGATCGGTATGCTAATTTGGTTATAGTATTTTATCCTTATGTGAAGCACGGCGTCGACTGTTTTCTTGTACAAGTGGTGAAAGCAAAACAGTTCCAGGCGCTTCTTCTGCTTTCCCTTAATGGTGATGAATTTCTTGATGACCCTGCATTGCTGCTGTGGTTTGCTTGTTACATTTCCATTTCCAATTATTTCTCTGCATTCTCCAATCACGTCGTTCTCCAAAATGTGGGTCTCGTTAAAGCCGCTTCCTTCCCTATGGCGCAGATTATCTCCAAAATCGGACAAGGTCAAGTCGTACTTGGTCAAGTAAAACTCATCAATGGGTTTATTTTCGCCCGTCTCATCCCCCGCATGTACCCCATTAGGGTTACCAACCACGTGTCTATCTTCACTTTTGTTTGTGTCTCCCACCAATTCTCCACCTTCCGAAGTGTTTTTAATGTCTCCCCCTTGCTTACAATTGACTGGCGAGTTCCCTAATTGTGTTGTCTTCTCTTCAGTAACTTCATTCATTAGGAGATTTTTATCCATTTTGTTCATTAACGAAGTAATTCGTTGCTCGCTAAAAGGGCGGAATGCATAAACAGACGTTATGTCATCCAGCCCGTTTAATGGCACGATGTTCAGTTCGACATCTAATTTTACATTGGACATATTTTCCAGCACCAATTCGCTCTTGGAATAATTAAAGAAGGGAACATTTTTGAAAATAATTTTTTTTTTACTATAGGAAAATTTTATTTCTTCCGAGGTTAAACTTACGTATAAGGAGTCATTGCACACTCCATCTTCATCCTTCACTTTGGTATTTTTTTTGCTAAAAGGATTTGCAGAAAATTTAAACAGGATTTGTTTCTTCACCAAATTGATGGCTTCCTTTATGTTAATTTGAACACAGACCGGAAAGGAGCTATTCGCTGGTATGGAGCCACTTAAAGGCCTGATGTCAATAACATTTTTTATCTTTTTTTCCACCTCTACATGGAAAAATAAATCGTGGTTGTTTTCGTTCACGTAGGGAACCTTAAATGAGTGGTTATACCCCACAGGTAACAGATCAAAATTAATATGATTTTTAAAAATGTCCACATTTTTACCGTTATACACATTTCTTATAGTACTTTTTAAGAGTTCTAAATTCCAGTAGTTGTTCGTTTCTACTATATTTCCAACGAACTTTAAATTGTAAAATTCGTAGTTATTATTTAGCACGCTAATTTGTATGCTACCTAAAAGTTGTTTTTCTTGGCCAGTGCTCAGAGGAGTCGTTGAAAATTTGGTTAAATTTCCTCGCACATTATTTGCATCTTTTTTTTTATCCAAATCATCCCTCTTCAGTTTTTCCTTAACACTTTTCTTCGCCTTTTCCTTGTCTACTTCTAATCCCTTATTGTTAAACTCATCGTTCGAGGTAGGTGTTTGCTCAATCGCATCGAGATCATTTAGAACGGCATTCACCGCCTTACATTCTTCTCCCTCTATCTCTTTTAAGCTCCCCCTTTGTGCGTTCCTCCTCTTTATCATTTCTTCCAATATTTTTTTATCTACTTTTATTTTAATGCTTTCTGTTTCGTTTTCCCGTATCATGTAGTTGCTGTGGCCTATGTAGTAGAGATAGCCCAAACTGAACATGTGCATTTTTTTCTCCCTATCCTTGTACAGCAAATCATTAACATTTTTGTAGTCAATGTAGGTGGTGTTGTTTCTTATGCGCAGTCCTAAATGATCCTCGACGGTGCTATAATAGGAGCTGCAATTTATGGCATTGTAAATATCTTTTTTTTCCTTCACACATGTCTGATAGTATGCCTCGTCACAGGGATTGCTTCTGCCATATGTGGACTTTGAGGCGTTGCTATTTTTTGCGTCCCCCCTGTCGTGTTGAGCTTCTTTTGTGTCATTCAACAGGTTGATATTTATAGCACGCCCATGCTCATTAATGTCTCCCTCTTTATTGGGGACACTTTCCAATTCGGGGCTGCCCTTTAGTTGTCCCTTCCGTTCCTCCATACCCCGCCAGCAATCTAGCGCCACATTAATCCTTTCAAAGAAGACCTTTACAAAGACAGGATACTTGAAGCAATTCTTTAATTTCACTTTAAATGACATAACACTGTTCAGGTGGATATCCCCCAAATCGTAGATATTATCTTCTCGGCGCTGCTTCAGTAAGCTTTGTGGAATGATGAGATTAATGGATGGCAAAAAAAATTCTACACTTATGTAAAAGGAAAAACATAACAAATTTTGCTGATTTGTCAGGTATATATTTACCAGAAATTTTTTACTTCCTATTTGGTTTGAATAAAAACATATGTCTAAATATTTGTGCTGGTAACGCGTAACCTCTGTGGTGGTGCTGACACAGGAGGACGCATCACCATAGGTGACACCACGCCGTTGTGCATTCAATTCAGTCAAACACCACTTTGACTTTATTTCATTGTCATTTTGAATTCGCATGTTAAAACGGATGGGAGATGATTGTTGGACAATCACGCTGGATCTTTTTGTTTCGTTTTCGTTCTCTTTTCCTTTGTACCCCCGTTTTTCCCGTTCCTTTTCTTTCCCCTTTCCTCCTTTATTCCTATAGTTGGCAAATTCGAGTTCCTTAATTTCTACAAGAACCTTCGCATTTACATCGGACGTGTTGCAAATTTTTATTCGCTCATTAATGCACTCATTCACGTGGCACCATCTGTAGTATAGTGTATTATCATCTGAATTATAGTAGCTGTTTTTGCCTAAGAAATGATCTAAAAAATTGGCATAGCTTTCTGCTTTCTTTAATATCAAAACTTCTTCAAATATGTTTTTTACATCGAGGGAAATGGTGGGCTTCACAGACGAGGCAAAAATTTTAATGATCTCTTTGTGATTGTCAATATGTTGTTTCTTCCCCCTATGCTCCTTTTTCTTGCTATCATTAGGCAGTGTATCTGACATGAGATTCTCCACCTCGACAATGTAGACAAATTTGTACTGCCTCTCTTCGGAGGAATTAAACTGAACCATGACGGTTGCCTCCCCCTTGGACTTCACCAAACCGCTAATTGGTGAAATGGAAAAAGGGCTTTTCAAATCGGCATTTGAATTATATGGCACACATCCCACGTTGTTGTATCGTACCACCTCATCCTTTTCTGTGTTCCTGATTTTACTCTTTAACAATTTTATTTCGTATTTAAAGTCAAAATGTCCATCATTCATGATTTTAAAGAATCGCGTTTCTTCCTTCTTAACCTCCACAGAGTCATAGTTCAGAATAGCAGGGATAACCCTAACATAGTTATAATCGAAAAACACAGAAATGGAATATTTGTACGTTTGAATGTGATTGTTTTCCATGTCGTAAAAGTGTATCATGAGAGGCACATTTTGAAATTTGGCCGTTCTACCTGATCTTACTTTTAGTTTTATTATTTTCATTTCGTTTGAATTTACATTGTCAGTTAGACATTCCATACTTACATAATTTAAAAAGGAGTCCTCATTTAATTCTGCTACGTAGAATATTTTGAACTTTCCTGTATTTTTCACTTTGAACAAGCATGTTTTGGTTTGATTTACCTGCACATATTTGAAATTAATGTCTTCTTCTAAAACGTCCCCTAGGTGGGCAGGTAACAGCTGATTGCGCCTTGGGGGGGACTCTTTCATGGCAGCACCATTAGCCTTTAATATGGTCCTCCCAACGATGGCACTTTCTGCTAGTGGGTCGAATTTCTCGCCCGAATCTTCCTTCACCATTTCGGTACTTACTTGAATAAATGACTTACAAACTTCTGCTTCCACCACCAGGGATGTGAAATAAACGTTGTTCCGCATTTTGTCATTTTTGCTGAAATTCTTCTCCACATAGTTGATTTTTATTTCTTTCTTTATCGCATTTACGATATCCGTTTTGATGGTAACTGTTAGGGTTTTTTTTTCATTTTTTAGTAAATTTCCTTTTGTAGGATTTATGCATAATGGGGTGTCGCTCTTCAAGTCGGCAGGGTCTACAAACCAGGCAAGGTCGCAGTAGCTACAGTTCTTTATTTCAACATTTTTTTGCTGAACTGAGTTTAAAAGAATTTTGTGAAAGTTTAAGTAATTTTCGCTCATTTTCAGACAGCACATTATGCCTTCCCCCTTTAAGCACAAAGAAAATATATCATACAGGTAATTATGAATCTGTTTGTTGTCTAAGTCTATATCGTTAGAGAAACGGCTATCACAGAGTGGCGCGCTGTGCTTTTTCCTTTCCCCATTCGTCATCTCCTTCTTGTTATTTATTGTTACTGCTTCATGTGCTATAGAATATATAGACAGCTGCAATTTTTCAAAAAAGGAACCCACCTTTTTAGGTAAAAACAAAACGATGATTTTTTTCCATTTCTTGGACAGAATGAAGAATTTCTTCGGGTACACATAAAAATCGTTATGGCTTATGAAATTATCAACACTGTTAAGTTCATTCGCCTGATAATTTTTATCACTGCTGCAAGGTACACTATCAAAAGAAATTTCGACAAAGGAGTCAAAGGGAGAGGAGTTAAATAAATTTAAAACCTGCACGTGCTTATACAAATGCTTAGAAATTTCGTTATTGTTCACCCTATCTGAGTTTTTCAATTTATACTTATCCTGTTCGTTACCACTTGAGTTTCTCCAAATGGAGGTAATATTTTGCTTTCTCATTTTTGCTAGTTTAATTTTGGGCGAATTGATATTTGTAAAAATTTTTAAAAAATTCAGGAGGTGCTCTTCACACTCGTCTTTTAGTTCCGTCTGGATGATATGTCTAAATGAGTGGACATTTCTTCCTATCAGTACCCGGTCAAAATTGTATAACTTTTTGCACAAAACAAAGCAGTTACTTCGGGGGGCACACATAACAACGTTGTTGCTAAATATGAAGTACGGATTGGAGTAAATCTTAGGCTTGTCAATTACCACAAGCAGATTTAAATAAAAGTAGTTTCCAAGCAGGTCTATTAAGCATATTCTTTTTTTTATGTTCACTATTTTGCAGGTGTTAATTTTTATGTTTATTTCGGTCGAGGTATTTTTTTGCAACATTACATGGGTTATATTTTTGTACCGAATTTCGTCCCTCTGATCGTAGGATTTGTCTACTTCTAAAAACTCAATTATGTAATGGTCTTCTTTCTTTTCCCTTTCTGCTGCGTCACCTACTGCACGTATGTTGCGAAAGTTATAGAAAATGTGGTCATATTCATCCTTTATTTCATACTTTTTATTTTCCAATTGTTCAAAGTAAGCTTCCTGCGTAAGTTCCTTTCCCCCGTAAAGGTACAATTTGTGCGCATCACTATCGCTGGTTGCGTTTTTGTTGGGAGCTTCCTTTCCTTCTTCGCCTTTGTTCTCGCTCTTTGCTCCCTTACTATCGAGGTCATTTCTATGTTCCTGTGCTTCACCCTCTTTTTTGTACGCACTCTCGTCTAGTTTCTCTAAGGTATCCTTTTTTTTTTCCTTTTCTTTTTTCCTTCCTTTCCTTTTCTTCTCTTCCATTTCGTCCTTGCTTTTGGCTTGCTCCTTTTCTTTCTTTATTCCCTCCACATTTTCGCTTTCCTTATGGTTCTTTTCCGTGTTTTTGTGGGGATCCGCAAGCACATCCTCCTCCTGTACTTTCCCTTTTTGTTGTTCCTCGCCTTCCTTTGCACTTCGCTTTTTCTTCTTCTTCCTCCTTTTTTCCTTCTTCTCACTTTTATGCTCATCTCCGGCATCCTCAAGTTTTTCCTTTTCGTTTTCTGCATTGTCATTCTTTGCTTCTTTTATTGTGGAGTTTTCTTTTTTCTTCTCCTTTTTCTTCCTTTTTGATTTTCCTCTGTGTAACTCGTTCCCCACTTGTGCATCTCCCTTTGGTAGTTCCCCCTCGTGCGATTCCTCTTTTACCACATTGTCTTCTTCGCGTCCATCTCTCGGGGACACCACACCAACTTGATCCTTCTCATTGGTAACATAAAAATTACACTCGCATTTTTCGACTTTATTTTTGATTTGCATGAAACTCTGCATATTGAATGCGTCGTACCTTTTGGAGTTTGGGATGTCAAAGAAGTAGGCGGATGTTTTTACGTCTCTATATTTTTCCTGCACGATTTTGGAAATTTCGTTCAGAACGTTCCTCTTTCTAAAGCATAATTCTTCGTTTATAAAAAAGTAAATGAAGTTGACTTGAACAAATGTTTGTTTTAAGTATCTCACCAGTTCTTCATTTTTGTTAACAACTGTTTTTACGCTTTCCTCAACTTGGTTGCAACGTTCCGCTGCACCTCCGTTTGGCATTTTTTCGCTGACAGCAATTCTGTCTTTGCCTCCACCGCATTCCATCTGAACATACTTCGAATCAAATTTTTTATTAATGTTGTTTCCCTCTACTGTTTTAATGGTACTTTCTGCGACTTTTCCAATTTCATCCTCCTCTTCTTCATTATTCTGTCCCGTTATCTCTACTCCATCGATGACTCCACTACTTACGTTTTTCAGTTCACCGTCCTCCTGATATATTGTTTCCACAAAATTATCACCAAGTTGGATATTTATTCTTCTTACGTACATGCTACTTCTTTTTTCTTTCCCACTTTGTTCTGTGTAATTATTAGATGTTTCTCCCTTTTGTTCATTACACGCGAGAGGATCCGCCATATCTGGACACGCCAATTTGGAGGAATAGTTATCCGTTCCTTTCCTTATATGATCTCTCAATAAGTTACGCAATACAGTTTTTAATTCTTTGTAAAATGACACATGTTCCACGTAGTCGTTGCTTTTCATGTAACTATTAATTTTGCTCACCTTTTTATTATACTTGATAATTTGCTCATCCACTTGTGCATTTCTTTCAACACAGTAACTTTTAAGTTGCCCAGTTATTTGCTTATTCAGGATTTTTTTTTCTTTGCAAACTACGAATTTTTCATATAGCCTCTCTACAGCGCTCTGCACATTCGCATTCATACACTGTACGTCTTTTTTCGTGCTTGGCCCCTTTTCGCTTAACATGTCGCTATCGTGTGTGTCTTCCCATGATTCACCTTTTTTAGAGCATGCTAGAAATTCATCTCCGTCTTTCTTCTCAACGCATGACGAATATTCCCCCACTTCTTCCGTTTGACCTTCTAAGTTGGCGTTTTTCCCATCCTGCTCAATATCCCCCTTCTTTTTATCACTGCAATCTACATTACGCGGAACCAGTTCAGCATTGCTTGAATCGGTGTGTCCGCTTAACGACTCCAATATTTTTTCGATTTGCTGCTTTTCTTTTAATTTCCGCTCAATCTTTTCTTGATATTTTTTGGTCATATTTTCATAAAAGTATTTAAGTCTTTGTGCATCCGTTGTTTGGTTCTCCTTTGCGTCGCTTCTTTTACCCCCTTCGCTTTCCGCGTTTTTCTTCCTGTCCACACCGTTAGACGGGTTAAAAAATTCCTCATACCCTTCAACCGGGTTCAAATAAATTATATGATTATTCTCATCCGAAGTGAGCCTCAAAACTGTGGTGAAAAAACACTCCGAATTTATGTATTCATTTTTTTTAAAGAAAAACACCACACCATTCACGTACAACGGGGAGAGTAGCACTTTCTGCAAGATTATCTCAAACAGATTTGCAAAGGTGCTATTCTTTTTGTTAGAATTTTCTCCTTTGTTTTTTTTCCGTTCCGTCATGGTTAATTTTAAAAATGATTGCACGTCATTCATAAAGTTTTCATCGTTGAGGAGGGAAAAGTGAAAAAAGTGCTTCACGAAATCTGAGTTGTGTCTCAAGTTGTACTTGTTAAAGAACGCCTTCTGGTCCAATAAACTACCACCATCATTGTTTTTTGCGTGGTCGTTCCTGCAGTTGTTTTTTTTTCTTTGCATACTTATCGCATGCTTATTGTCTATCTTAGATTTTATGCTTCTTAAGTTTGGTGTTTTCTTGAGTTTATTTTTACCCACATTTGTGCAATTCCCATCTTTTTCGTTATCCACCCTCGTGTCCTTTGCATCATGAGCATGTTCATTTAGGACTCCTACTGGCTGCTTAAATGTACCTCCTTTTAAAATTAGGTGTGAGTCTTTATCCCCATTAATTTTCATGCCATCATTTGTGTTTATGTCGTCATCGGCTTGCTCTTGGTCTCTCCTTTTCTCTCCCACATTTAGCACTTCACTCACGTAGTAGTCTAAGCTGTTCTCCTGCGTCTGCCCAGAAAGTGCAGAAAGTCCCGAACAGGCCGCATTCGCCAAACGTTCGTTCATACTTCTGTTAGACGTCCTTAGCTTTTTGGTAGAATGTCTATTCCGGTTTATGTTCCTCTCATGCATGATGTAATGAATGAAGCTCCTTTTCACGCTGGATGGGTAGTTGTCCTTCTCGTTAATCTCTTTACACCATCGTATTATTTCTCCAATCGTTAGCAAGTTATCATTCTCAGGGTCGATACCCGTTTCTGTTTTTTTTAGCGGAGAAAAATTCAAAACGGTATTATTCACGAGGTAGCTTCCAATCCCCTTATGATTCACATATTTTGGACAAATGAGCAAGAAATTTTGTTTTATTTTTTTCTTTATCTTTATTATGTTTAAATATTCTTCGAAATAATTGTACTTCCTTTCATTTGTCTGTATAAGTTGGTCTAAAATGGCAATTTTATTTTCTAAAATTTTGATATTCCTTTGTTGTTCATTCGGGATTGTACCTACACCCTTTGAATCATCTTTTGTTGGAGGTATACAATCGGCTAGTATATCATTCAGTTTTTCCTTTTTGTTTGTTAGTTCATCTGTTTTGTCATTCCCTTTTTCCCTTTCCGTTTCGTTCATCTTCTTCGATTTGTATTTTCCCTTTTTGTCTTTGCACTGTCCTTCGGCAAGTTTACGTCCTTTTTGGTGTTCTACATGTAAGAGGTTTCTTTCCCCTATTTTGTTTTCATCATCCAGTTTGACACCCTCCGTCTCGTGTGTGACTCCTTGTCGTTCCTCCTGTTCCTCGCTATTATGCCAACTTTGTGTGACATAACTATTTAAGTCACCGTTCATAACGCTTGTCCCCTCTTGGTTGCAATTTCTTATTCGATCTAACTGCCTTCTGTACAGACCCACCAGGTAGTCCATCAAATTGCTATAAAAAAAATCACTTTCGTCGTTCTTTTCAATATATATATGTGAGTGGATGGACAGCAGATCATATAGGAAGCTTTGAAAATACTTATAGTAGTTATCCAAGTTATAAATAAACAGATACTTGGAATAGTTGTTAAAGTTTGTAATTTTCATGTTGTGGTGTACGTTTCCACTGTTGAGGAGGAGCGGTTTGACAATAATGTCACTGGGGTCAGCCTGCACGTGATCCCTAACGCTGTTCAGATAAACGTCCATGCTTTTTGTAAAATTGGAATGATAAATGAACAGTTCTATACTTACTTTGGCATTTTTATAAACATCCGAAGGCTCAAAGAATATGCGAATGTCCAAAAATGAATTACTCTTAATGATCCCCTTACTAGGTATTATAAAAATTTGGGCCTTTTTTTTTAAGTGATAATATTCTAACTTTTTATTGAAGAAAATTATATTTTTCACTTTAAATTTTACATTCACATTTTTGGTATTTATCAATCGGTTCGTTTTGCATAAACACTTTTTCACTTCTACTTTTTCAAAATGAATTTGTCTATAATATATATGCAGATCCGGAATGATGTAATTAAAATTTATATCCACTGTGTAATAGTTTTTGTCATTCATGCATATGAACATTTGTTCTGAAAATAATTTTTCCTTTGCAAACTTATTATCAATTATAATTTTCAAGTTGATGGAATCGTCCTTATCTACTTCCTTATGTTCACATGCTAATGTTATTATGTCCTTCATTTCTGGATTACCCAAATGGTAACTTAATTTTACCTTGTCTCTACTTACATTCTTTAGCGTAATTACACCCTCTTTCTTTTCTTTAATCGTTACATTTCCCATATTTAAGTACACACGTTGTAGCTCGCTGTTGTTTTCTAAAATTACTCGCTTCAGATATTTTAGGATGTACTCGTTGCTCACGTAGCCGTGGCAGGACAGCTTCTCGAAGTTGGCTGCGAGGGATATGTGAAAAAAGGGGGCATTATTTCTAAACACGTTGCGCATGCTATACAAACCGTAGAAGCTGCACACTCTTCAAATGATACAAAATTGACTGCGCTGTTTGGAACAATGCAATGCTTCGCGTCTTTATCACAAATACACCTCTTTCGAATGCATTATCAAAGCTGGAAAATATGTTTACCTAACTTCTTCAACTTTGAAAAGCTCCCGAGAATGTACTTGTCATCCTTTTGGTTCAAAATGAAGCATTTCAGCAAATCGGAAAAGATGCAACAGAGGCTGCTGTTTTTAGCGCAGTAACTTTTTAAGATTCCTATAAGGTTATATTTGCGCTTGAGGCCTTCGGACGCGTCTGTTCTTTTAGTTGAGCCGCCGGATACGTTGTCCATTTGGTTCTCCCTGTAGACTTCAACAGATTCGCCCAATTCTCCCACTTCGCTCACTTCATCCGCGTCACCTATTATACCCATTTGTTCGTCATTCGTCTCCGTATGCACCCCTTGCGCGCTAACTCCAATCGCGCGGTCGTGATAAAGGGCCAATATTTCTTCGATGTGCCTACCGAGGGACAGAAATACCTCCGCGTATCTGCTTTTCAGCTTTTGGATTAGCCCCCTTCGCTGATTTTCATAATGAGAATTCTCGTTAAAAGGTAACAAGGCTTTGCTTATCAAGGTGTCTATGGGGTTAAATTTGCTCTTCTTTCTCTCCCAATTCTCCGTTTCGCGGTTTGGATCACATTCTTGCGGGTACACTTCATCCGCTAGTTCTCCATTTTTCCTATCAGCACATCCATCCTCAACATCTTGGACAGTCAGAAGCAACACATTGGATCTGTCCCTGGAATGTAAAGTCACTTTAATTTCCTCAAAATTGCAAATTTTAAGCAAAATGACCTCCTTCACATTTTGCGGAATACCAGGTATGAAGTAAAAAATGATGTCCTTACTGTTGTGTGGCTCGATAAAAAAATTATTCACATTTGTATACAGTAGAGAAGGAAATTTTATATTATACACAATTTCAACGAAAAGTTTAATTTTCCCTGTATTTTGGATGGTTATAAAATCTTCCCCAACGGATTTGTAGTGCAAATCATAATTCAACTCCCTCTTGTTGATGCTATATTTAATGTCTGAATATCCACCTATCAATTTGAGGGGATAAATGGGGCCATTCCTAATTTGACACAAAACATTAACATTGTAATAGCTTTCATTTATGCTGTTATAAGTAAGCGTTATTTGTTTTTTTTCGTAGGGCAGTAAAAAACCTCTATGTGGAATTATATTAAACACTTGATTAAAATTTGCATACATATTATTTTCTTCAAAAAACCACTGGAAGTACACTTTAAAATTACACACATTTTTGATTTCCACTGTTTCTTGGGCACATAAATTTTTTAAAATGTACTGAAAGTCTACAGAACTTTTACTCATCACAATATTAGGATATATTGTCTTTCCAAGTAATTCATATTTTTGTCTTCTTCCATTTTCCACAAAGTGGACAATCAGATGATCCTGATAAGTATTACTAATTTTGTTATTCATAAAATCCACGTCAAAAAAGATTCGGTTTTTTTTTCTTTCCATTGGTCTCAATTCTATTACTTCTTGCTCCATAGAAAAGGGTAACTTAGTGGACAAGATGAACTTTACATTTGCATTCCGCAGATTCTTCATTTCGACTTCTTGCATTAGTTTGTTCATATTTTTCGAATGGGTAATACACTGCTTTGATCTGTTTTCTCTTCTTTCATCTACAGAATTTTGGCACTTCTCCGTGGGCCGGTTTTCCAAATCGTCTTTTTCCACTCCCCCTTGCTCATTAAAGTCATAAACAAAGTTCGCAATGTCGCATATTTCGATCTCCGGGTGAACAAACGAAGCTTCTATTTTTATTTTTTTAAAACTTGCACACACTTTCTTCTTGCCGATTGTATCTTCATGCACGTAGAGAATATCCTCGCACTTTTCCTCTTTGCAGTTGAGCGCGCTTACAATACACACCGCTTCACTGCCCCCCTTTATAGACACGCTCCTTGGGGTCACGCCAAATATTTCAGGGCTTTCATTTTTCTTCTTTCTTTTCTTTTCGGACTCGAACAGGAAGTACACGCTCCTTTCGCTCGTCCCTCTGTTGGAGATGATCAGCTCGTGGACATATTTTTTGCCCGTGTGAGTGACTTCAAAGTTTATTCCGCTATGGTTGACTAGGATTGGAGATCCAACGCCCTGCAAAGGGGGGGGGGAGCGGTATGGCCGTATGTTGGTTGCACTATGTGGTGATCACCCAGACGGTCACGCAACCTTGTGCCCACAACCAGAGAGCAGAGACACATACCTGAGCCTTCAGGGGAACCAAAATGTCCTCCTTCCGATGGACGTTCACCCTCAGTGTGTCCATGTAAGCCGTGGTGTCTAAGCACTCCACAAAAACAGGGACAAAAACGCATTCGTGCGGTTCTATATAAAAGTTATTTTTCGAAAAGCTGAAGACAGGTAGCTCGTTGGACAAGCTGATAAAGGTATTAATGGGACTTTCATTTTTTATTTCAATCACTTTTTCTTTTACATCTAAACAGTTGCACTTTTCAAAGTCAATTATACTAGGAATAATTTTTACGGTGGGACAAGTGCAGTAAGCTTTAATATTTAAAAATAAAAGATCCGCACACCCGAATATTTTAACTTTAATCACGATAAGGATATACCCTATAATTTTGCTCTTTATGCTAATGTGGACACTTTGGACTTGGTTTCTTTTGATCACTCCATCCTTGTGAGAAATGTGCAAATCGCATATGCAGGAGATTTCTTCGTCCACAAATAATTCATATTTCACATCCGTGTCTTCCGACTTGTTAATTAGGTTAATTTGTTCGGTGTACATTTTATCTATAATCATAGGTTCTATGTTGAGGAAAACGGGTTCACATAATACGTTCGGCTTGGAGCATATGGCACGAAAAGCTAAGTTCTTTTTAAAGGTTTTAATTTCACTTAGATACAGTTCTACACTCGTCATGTATGTTTTTATTTGTTTAGGGTAAAATGATAAGACTATTTTTTCTTCACCAAATTGGTTTAATTGGTTACAGTTTTTTTCAATTTTTACTTCATCTTTCAATTCGTTAGGAATATTAAATCCATAATGAAGAGTCAACTCCGAGTTGTTAACTATGGTAATTATTTTTTTGTACTCAAAGCTGTGTGACACTTGATTAAAGTTTATTTCTTCTATGTCTAACAGGACTTGGGGAAAATTGCACTTACTCACTACCTGTAATTTTCTTTTCACATTTGTATACTTCTGATGAATTATGAATGTCTTCTCTGATGTCCCATTCACTTTTGGCATATATACCATTTCAAGGGAGTGGGTAGAATTTTTCAGTACAGTAAAATTTCCGCGTGCAACTTCGAATTCGTTATAATTATCCTCTACTTTTTCTATTTTCATGGGAACATCAAACTGAGTGTTGTTCACCAGTTCGAAGGATAGCCTTTTGCATGTGTTAATTAAAATGCTGTCAATTCTGTGGATCCTTTCTGCTATGACAATTTCGGGTGCTATACTTTTTAAGTACACAACTATTTTTTCTTCCTTCTTGTATCCTCTTATAAATAGGAATATTACTATTTTGTAAAATGAGGCAAACTTGGGACACAGTGCAACGGTGAGGGGGGTGTTTGTTTCACTGTATAGTTTTTTGCACTTAGGGAATATGTCTATGATATTTTTTTTTGTTTGTTTTTTACACCTTTTTGGCTCATCATAATGTGATATGTTTGACCTATCGGAAGGTTCCGAATCAAATGTGTCATTCTTTTGGTCGCATTCTTCGCTCTCCATATGGGGTTCCCCGTCGGGTAGGTTGTCTCCACTGGGGGTTGTTCCCCAAATGTGATCATCACTGCTGCTATCTCCACCGCTGCAATCTCCACTGCTGACTCCGCTTTCGCCACCACGCTGCAAGGATTCATCATTTTTGTATAGGGCATTCTCTACTATATTCTCGTCCAACAATTCGCTGTCTCGAATGAACGTCTTTTGGATTATTCTGTCCCCCTCATCGAAGGTAACATCTTTTATATCCGTTGAAGGGTCATCCTGAAACGCATAAAAGTGGGAATCACTAATTGCGTTTGCTCTTTAGGAATGAACATCATTTTAATATATATACATATATATGTATTGATTGTGCTAATTCGTGTACGCAGAATGCAGCGCATGGCTCAACGCACTTACATATTTAGACTCGTACACATTATACTTTGTTATATTATATGTTAGCAAAAAGAAGGATAAATTCTTAATGAAGATATTTATTTCTTTACGTGTGTTAATGTACACGTCTTCTGCAGTGAGATCCTTATCTTTTATTAGGACCTCGGCCACAATTCCTTCTCCTCGTATGTTCGTGTAGGTCCTTATTCCCTAACAAAATAAAAGTTTTTTTTTTTTTTTTTTTTTTTTTTAAAGATTGCACATTTGGGTTTATCCTTTTTTGCAAAACAGATAAGCTATATTTTAATGTGCTCATTACATTTTCGTAATTTATTATCATGTAGTCTTCGTATGTTCTTTTTTGGACAGGCAGGAACGTGATCTTCGTCTGCAGTTGTGCAAAAAAAATTATGCGCGCATGTATTGGTATGTCTCTGTATCCACAAAAAGGGCTAGGCCCCATTCGAAAGGACAAAAGGAAGAGCGTCATCTTGCTGCTAAGCGAAGAGCGTCTATATCTCCCTGTCGCCATTTTAAAGATAAAATTCTAACTTCTATCATCTCCCCCTCCTTCAGCACATGGATAGAAGAATTAACATAAAAGGGAGGTGCTATGCTGATTTGGAATTTATTTTCATATTTCCCGATATTTTTGATCGTTATGCTTTTTTCGCTTTTCATATAAATCGGGGTTTCATTCATCTTTATCTCGTCTTGCACATCCAAAATTATTTCATCGTTCATGCATCGTATAGGCAATGTAAAGGATGTACCCTGTAAAGTACAACGGAGTTTTTATCGATCGAAATGTGCGCTTGTGCAGTTTTACGGAGTGAAGACAAAAAAAAAATATACAATAAAAACAGGGGATGGTCTAATGATGCAAGCGCTTTATGGGTAAACATGACGCACCCTAGTTATACTGCACATGTGTTGTCTACCTCTGTCTGAATCTCCAGATCATATTCGTAATTTTCACACGATTGCGGGTAAAATTCCACCTAAAGGGAAATGAAATGGTTGTATTATCGAAACGGATTTTTAATGAACCCTTTTAATTGTTACTCGATAGGTTTATGTGCTCTGCAGGGTTTCGCTTCTCTCTTCGTTTTTGTAATATTTTCATCTTCACAGAGTGTAATTGTTAAGACACTGCCCTTCAATTCGCAAATATAAAAAAAGTCAATGCGTTGTGTGAAGTCCCAACCTTGAAGGTAAATAGCATCCCGGGAGCAACCTACAAAAATGAAGTAATAGTGCAGATAAAGCGAATATAAAATAAGTACAAAAAATATATATTTACATGGTGCACATAGGAATTATTTAAAAAGTTTACCTTTTTTTTGATATCCGAAATGTACTTCACTTTGAAGATATGGTTTTCTCCTAATCCCAACTTGAGGTTTCTCGCGTTGGCATCGACATTTCTACAAGAATTAATTTTTAAGGAAAAAAATTTTGCAAAAATATTGTCATCAAGTAGCGACTTACATGTTTGTACGTCTTTTTCGGCACACTTCATGAGCATTTTCCAAAGATGCGCAGACATGCAAAATGTTATTGGACACCCTCGTTGCGCAATTTGTTGCTCTTTTTCTTTACAACGGCGAAAGATTAAATTACTTTAACGTTACAACCCTTTCGTATTTTTTGAAAGGGGCATAAGAAGTGAAGGTAACGATATCTGGAGTTATCTGAAAGTACTTGCAAGAAATGTTATTCTTTAAGATGCCTCTTTTTGTCATGTTCTCATTTTTTTTCCTGATAAATTCTTTTAAAGCCTTTTCCCTATTATGGACAAAATAGGCGGGCGTCAAAAAAGGGGAACCCTCCCGTTCTTCTTCCTCGCCACATGTAGCATTTTTTTCTTTGTTGCCGCAGTTCCCAAATTTGTTATCTTTCACCCCCTTTCTGTTGACTTGTTCCATTTGGAAATCGTTTAAAAAGCGAGAGAAAGAGATGAACAAATGTCGGATTAAGGTACACCTCTCTTTCTCATTCAGTCTTTCGCTATGCCATTATGTTTCAACATCGCGGTGCATTCTGTGGGAACATTTTATCTCATGTGCATGCGCATTATTTCGCGCTCGTAGGGAATGTGTATAACTAGGTCTCCCTTTTTGATGCTTGTCATTCAGTTAGACATGTGTAACGACATAATGAATGCAGAAAAATGACAATATTAAAGATGCATAAAAGGGAAAAAATGCGAATTTTATCTTTGTAGAAACATTTCACTGCTATTTCCCCCCTACGACACGGTAACTGCGCAAGTGCTGAAATTCATTTTTACTTCCTATATAAATGCTTTAACATTGCTCTCCTTCGCGGTCCGGTGCGCTCCGCTCCGGTCCGGTCTTTTTTTTTTTTTTTTTTTTTTTTTTTCTTGTTCATTTGAGCAGCACGATTTATTTCCATTTTTACTTAATATTATTTTTTTTTCCTTTGCACACTTGACAAGTAAGGCACATATATTTCCTCACAGGAATTGGGCATTGCCATGGAAGGAATGTTCCTGACAACTTAGTACTGAATAACGACTTTAACAAAATTGAAAATCCGCCAGAATAGTTAAGAAACAATTATAAAAATAAAAATCAAATAGAGCCAACAAAATGAACGACAACCCGTACATACCCGTTATCGAAAAATTAAATAGTGAAAAGAATCCCAATTTTTATATTTGTGGAAATGGATTTATAGCCCCTTTAGACATCAAAAATTTGAAAAAAATTTCCAACACGGAAAAAAAAAATTTGCAGAGAGTTTTTAAGATGATGGACAAGGACAATAAAGGAAAAATTTCCGTTTGCAATCTGCATGACATTTTGCATAAATATAATTACAAGATTTCTAAGGTTATACCTCTTCCCGCTGCTTAATTTTGAGTTCAAATGAGCTACTCATTCTTTTGCAGTACACCCATTTTAGGCACATCGCTTCTGCATCCTCATACAAAATGATGTAGAAGACATGGGAGAGAATGAGAGTTTGTAGCGCTCTTCCTGCGTTGAGCTGGCGAACGTTATAACGTTTGCAAATCGGCGTAGTGTAACTCGCCAACTGTGGAGTACCCTAAAGGGGAAACGCTAAGCTGTGTCTCTTTGTTGAAATTGAGGATGGACAAACAAATAGGCAAACAAGAATGAGCGTATAGGTAGACAAATAAGCGAATAGGCCCATACAAATGCGCGAATAGGCAGACCAAAATGAGCTAGCAGGCCAATGAAACAGAATTTCCTCCACCCCTCCGCCAGAGCGAAGTCGAAAGAATGATATGGGAGTTCGATGACAACATGGACAACTGTCTAGACTATGATGAAATTTATTTTCTATACCTGCGGTGTGTAAACGACAAAAAGAAGCAAATACCGAGTGACCTATACAACATAATTCAGTTTTTCATGTTCGATTATGAAATGAATGGGTACATAACTGTGGAGAAAACGCTCCAAATCTTGTATGTGCGTTTTGGTCGAGAAAAGATGGACTTGGAAGTCCAGGAAATATTTGGAGACAAATATGAAGATGAGTCTGGCGTGGAAAAGCAGATATACCTTAAGGAATACCTCGATAATGAAAAAAAGCGAATTCGCAAATTCAGGTTATTCTCGCTAACCGCTTCCGCGCGATTGTACAAGTGAACGCGTTTGTCTCTTCAACCCTTTGTACGCATGCCCCCATTGTCCAGATGCGCGCATATATAAAACATTGTGTGTACATATATATATGTATGTATTTTCCCCCTTTAGGGGGGTGATTTTTTAACGCAGGACGGAAAATCACAATAAAAGGGGCAAGACATAATTATATTTGCACTTACGGGCTAAGTGCTCTCATCCATTTATACACCTTGGAGCGTTCACATAACATGGTTCTATGTCAGCAAAGAATCACTTCGCACAAGCTGTGTTTGTATATTTTTCAATTTTTCATAGTCCATGTACATATCGCTGTTCTTCGAATTCAATGCAGCGGATGTACATGTAACAGGGCACTTTTTTTTTCTTCCCTGTTTCGCTAACTTATTGAAATTAAAAGTTCTTTTTTTTTTTAAACTGTTGCAAATGGCACAAGTAGCTCTCTGTTTATCCTCGTTTATACATACACCCAATGAAGCTATCATGTACTCGTCTACCACACATTCACATATATTTTTTTCACCTACATGATAACACCGTTATTCACTTTTTGTGTGCGCAAAATTTCCAAACTGGGCGTTTTACTAATTTTTCTCTCCTCAATTTTAGAAATGCGTAGAGTTTACAACATACGTTATTAAGATAAAATGGGATATTTAATTGTAGTCCATTTTTTTTTTTTTTTTTTTTTTTTTTTATGTACTTTTATAACATACGAAAAAATCGTGTAAACATTTTACTTAACCTGGAACGTAAAATTGGCTACTTCGCAATTTGAAGTGTTCACTTTTTTTTCGCAAAAATGCAATTTGTAATGTTACAAGTTGGAATTCCCCTTAACCATTTTTTTTTTTTTTTTTTGTTACAATTTGTTCATTATTTTTTAGTATATATTTCACTCTTTGGCATTTCGTATGTTATAAAAAGTTCATGTGCAACAGTGACAAACGGCACAAAGGAGTAAGGTAAATTTGACCTATACACTAACACCCAATTTTGCACGTTGCTCGTTCCTCCTTTGGTTTTGTACCATCTATGTACAGAATATTTACCCTGTTGCACACTGCGTTCTTTATTGCTGCCATGTAGACTCAAGTTCATAAAGCACGTGTATATACGCGCCCGTAATAATGTGCTATGTTATATGCATATCGATCTGTGTTTATTCACATTTTGCAAGTTTATATTCACACAAGCATCTCCTTCGCAGAGTACTACCCTACTTAACAATTTTTTTCTTTTCTTTTTTTTTTTTGTTTGCGTTCTCCCCTTTTTTTCCCTTGGTGACGTCTACATTAAGAAGTCGCTTGATGTGATCGTCGTAGTGAAAATGAGCTTTTTTAGTTTTTTTTTAAAGCAACTTTGTGCCTAGGAGATAGTGATTTTTTTTTTTTTCGCAAATTTTTTTTCCTATTTTGTTTCTCGTTTTTTTTTGCTTCCAATCCTGTTTCTCCAACATCCGTTCACGCCTCACGTTTCGCACAAATGCGCACATTACGTGCGGACTTGTAAGCATAGATGCACATGTGCACGCCCCCGTTTCATGACTGCAGTGCTCCCCCTACATGTGAAGCATTGCCTTTGAATTTTCATACTCCTTATGGGAAATCCCCCCATAGGCAAATTTATAGCCCCTCTACGCATTTACATAATTGCTCCCTGTTTCTGTCCCCTGTGAAGCTACGTAGATGGCTACAAAAAATACACCATAAAAATATACCACTATTCTATAAGCAACAGTGTCATATAAAAGGTCCAAATTGCCAAGAACAGAATTTGATTCTCTTCACCCCACACTCCAGCATTTTAACTAACTTATGTTTTAGGAAAAATGGAAGAACCCAAAAAAAAGAAAGACAAGCAATCTAATGTTATCATTAGGCTCATTGTGACCACTTACATGTATGTCCTCATATCATTTGCAATGGTTCTTGCTCCAATTTTGCAAATGATATGTATCGTTTTGTTCTTGCCTCTGATTATATGTAGCAAAAAGGCACGCTTAACGATACTTTCCTACTGCTTTAGGATTTGTATGTTCTTGGGTAAGTAGAAAATGGGGAAGCTGCTTAAAAGGGGCTTCCTGAGTTAGACCCCAAGTGAGAACGACAGTGAGAGAAGTGTAGAAGAGCTCCAAAAAACAAAAAAAAAAAAAAAAAACATCCCCATGTGGAAGGGACAAAAGGGAAAGTGTGAACAGTGAACTTACTACTCCACTGTACCAAAAAAGATAATGTGAGGATCAACCATGCGTGTGTGTGTGTGTGTAGAGGTACCAACATGATTATACACTTTCACGTATATTGCCACCCCTGACGCTATGGCGATCTCCCCCCCCTTATTTCTACACAGCATTGTCCCCGTTGAACCCATTTTGGAAATTAAAAACAATCAGGAAACCGAGGAAGGGATACAGGCCAACCACAACAGTTCTATTTGTCAACCACTTATCTTCACTAGACCCGTGGGTAGTTAATGCAGTTACAGTGTCATGGAATTTGAAGTACGTTTTTAAGGCCTCATTACTTCGAATACCCTTTGGAGGACAGGCAATATATTTGTCTGGGGATATGCCAATTCATTTTACCAAAGGGAAAGGTGGATGGGAAGTTAAACCAGGAAGTGTAGCACAGGTTATGAAAACCTGTAAAGAGTACCAATCTATGAACATGGGTACAATTGTATTTCCGGAAGGCACACGTTCTCTTACTGGACAGTTACAGTTTTTCAAACCAGGTTTTTTTAAATTCGCAATTGAAAATAATTGTGAAATATTGCCATGTGCTTTACATGGGTCTGGAAAATTGTGGCCTGTGAAAGCAAAATTGGTGGACATGGGAACTGTGTATTTTTCTTTTGGAGAGCCTTTTTATCCCACCCCTGGAATGACAGTCGACCAGTTAATCGAAAAAACCAGAAATGCCATTTTCGAATTGATTAAGGAGTTCCCCGATTATGATCCCGAGGTAACATACCGGAAGGGACGGCGAAAAAGCGAAATTCGTTAATTCGGAACTTGTGCGATTTGTAAGACATATTCACTACCGCAACTGTTCTGCCACACACTACACATGTTTTTTTTTTTTTTCTTCTTTTTTGCCCCCCCCCCCCCCCTGTAGACGGACAAGTTAGCAACCGAAATGACGAAATGGAGAGGACACGGTCTGTAGTTGCCGTCACATTACGTTGCGACATGGATGCGTTATGTTTTTACAATTACGCCTTTTTTTTTGTCTAACAGTAACTCTAAATGTGTTGCACTCTAATTGGCGTAGATACTCCTTTTATTCCAGTTTTTTACATGGTTACGTTTTTTTAATGCTGCTTTTTTGTAATATGCGCTTCGATGTCGCTTCTGTACTCTATTTTGAGTTGATGAAGGCCCCCATGAGGGGGAGGTTCACAAAAACTGGATATTTCCAAACATTGTAATAAATTTGCCATTATCCCTTGTTTTTTTTTTTTTTTTTTTTTTTTTTTAAATTCCCCCTCATAACACTTATGTATAATTTATTGGAAAGAAAAAAATGAATAAATGAATAGCACGGTGCATAATTTCACAGCGTAAGGAGACATACAAGGTGCACATCATCCTTCTTTTTTTTTTTTTTTTTTGTAAGCGGGGAACAGGTAAATCCGAATTGTCTACGCCCAGATCTCCAACCATCATCTCTTTCAACTTGTGCCTCCTTTACGTGACAACATGTGGGTGACATGACTCCCAAGGGGTCCTACACGATTATACGTAGTGTTTGTAGAAGTGGAGGTTGACAGTTTTGTTCTCTCCGCCATTTCGAATTTTACCCACATATGTTATCACATCAATTTTTGATAAATTTGCAATTTGTTAAAAGTAACCTGACCGCACATTGAAGTGCAATGCGTGCTTTGCTTAGTAAAAATGGGAGAGCTACGAAAATGTGTAAAAATTGAGAAAAGAAGAAAAAAAAAACGTTGTGCATACATGAAGCAACGTATATATATTGTCATTCGAAACATTTCGGGGATGAATAAAAAAAGTGCAAAGTGAGAACCGAGCAGAAAATATACCTAATAAGATCCTTCAGAGGTAACACTTTTTAGAATAAAAGAAGGCCGTAAGAATGCTTCAAACGGATCGATGAGAAAAACTGAATTGCGCGAACAATCAGGTGCTCAGAATGAAGCCGGCAAAAGGCGGAGAATAGCACCTTCTACATATATTGCAGTCCACGTGTTGGGTACGAGAGTGCTTCGTGCCTGTTCATAAATAGATGCCACAATTGGCCTATAGCAGCAATTGGAAAGGAGTAGCATTCTCTTTGGCAGAAATACATCTAAAAAGTGATCCATCTGAGAAGTGATCCGCCTGAACAAACCAAAGCGTGACAAAAAACCATGGCACCTGAGCTGTTCAATGAAGTTGACTTCATCGAGAAGCATTACAACTTCAAGAATTCAGAAGCAGGATCCACACTAGACGAGAATGAAGAGAACAAGATTATCCAATTAATCACAATATGCAAAAACAAAATCGAGGGCGGAGGAGCAGCAGCAGTGGAACAGCGTGAAGCCCATCTGAGTAACTACATTAAGGCATTGAAAATTATCATCTTTTACATCCCACATAACGACTCGATTAAAAAAAAAATAACGGACAGGAAAACGTACCAGAGTTTATTTTTAGGGAGACAATATAATGCAGATGCTGTGAATAGCTTAAGCGGAAATGGAAGTAGTAACCTGGAAAGAGAGGAAACAATTGGAAATCTCTCCCCATACACAGACGTGGACAAGTACGAATTAATATTTTTAATTAATTTAGTGACCCACAATGAAAACAACTCGGAAATTTTTGCATTTCTGTATCCCTTTTATTTTTATCATATTATCATGAAAGGACTTAACAAGGATTACATTTTTATGCTGCTGAACAATTTTATAATAAATGAGAGAACGTATGAGCAGCTTTGCAACGTGGAAGATTTTTCCTTTGTTCTTTTTTTGTCTCTTTGGGATCTTTTAAAAAAAATTAAAAAAAAGGCAACTATCTGTAACTACTTTTATATATTTATTGAGAATTCCTTGAAAAATGAAAATAAGTTATTTTTACACATTTTACAAAATATGAAATTGTTGTATGTTGATTTTTACGCGCACACGGAAAAAATGAACCAAAATGTGTTTTTATTTTTCAAGAAAAATATTGTACTGAGCAAGTGGAAAATTGTTCACAAGGGGGAAAACAAAAATTATTTATTCAAATACATCGCATTGATGTTTAAACTCATTTACGAAACAGTGTACAACATCCTTGATGAAAAAAATTTGGAATCAGAACAAATTTGCAAATACCAACATGTGTATAAAAACACCGTTGAGCACATAAAGGAAAGTCTAACGTACATAAATAACGTAAACTATTTTGACAACTTCCAAAATGCGCATATCGAAATGTATCATAAAAATGTTCTATTCATGGATATGTTCGTATATCATAAAAAAAAATTCAGTTTAGAAATTTTCAAGCTAATTTTATTCATTTCCAACATTTTTAGTGACCGTTATGAAGAACTGGACTACCTGTCTTGTCCAGAAAAAAAAAACTTTCTTGACATTATTTTTACCTACTTGAAAACAATTTTGCAAGTGCGAAGTGACCATTTATCGAAAAAGGAGGAAATGCTTTATCATAAATTTGTTTTAAACAGATACATCCTTAGCTTCGTGGCTAACTTTTGTGTAAACCGAGAGGTGTCAAATTATGTCAAACGGATTAACGGTACGTTGGAAGAGTCCAAGGGATGTGTGTGTGGGGGGGGCAGAAGAGAGAACTACCAACGCGTGGGTTTAACCAACATAAGAAAGTGGGAACCCCCCCCTCAAGTAGGCCTAATGTGTGTATCATCAGTGTTCTTTTATTTTTCCTATGTTTCTTCTTTTTTGTAGGCTTAGACGTTTTGAGAAAATACATGTACATTGACGATAGGGACACTTGTTTAGCAGAATATTCCATTTTGGTATGCCAACGCTAGTTTGCTCACATGGAGGGAGACAATTAAATGTGCATTTTGCTCATCGCACGTACAATTTCATGCACGTGTGTGCGCTACATCCACATCCTTGACCCACGTCATTTTCTCCTTTTTTACCCATCAGGCCATTAAGCACATTAAGGAAAATGAAAATTTGGACGATTTCTAAATAGACTTCATACTCATATGGACGAATATTTTTTGGTCACTTTTTTTTTTTTTTTTTGTAAGCTTTTGAATAGGTTTTTTTTTTGTCTTGTGCAATTTACTCAAAATGCGTTTCGCACCCTCTCCCCTTTTTTCCTGTTTGGAGCTAACTGTTCCCTTTAAGGAGGATCCCCGTATGCGTTTTGCTTCAATTTGAAGAACACATGTAATTTTTACGTTTCCGCAAATTGTGCATCTATTCGTTCGTTCTGTCTTCTCCCATTTTCTGCTTGTCTTTTGCTGGAGGTCCAATTGGGCAAATTATATAATTATACAATAAGGTGTACTTCCAGAAGGTTTGGGAGTAACCATTAGGTTTAGAAAAAAAGGAAGGGGGAAAAAAGAAAGTTGTAGACTATTCCTACAGCGTGACTTCTTCCCGGTGCTATGTTTTATGTTTAGCCTGAAGCAACATACAGAGCAACGTACGAAAGTAAAAAGTAAAGGGTGACACCAATTATGACCATATTGTCACCACCGTTAGGGTAGTTTAAAAACTCCACAACGAATTTTTTCTTTTATAAATGTGTTCGAGATTTCATAAAGTTGACTCTTAAAAATGAAAAAAAAAAAAACGGTAGTGCGAAGAGAGCACATGCACATGAATATATATGTGTGTATACAAACACAAAAACGAATATACCGCCGTGTGCTCCGTTAAAAAAATAACACGCGAACGGAGAATTTTTATGATCTAACGCAAACGCTCGTTATCTCGTTTGTGAAGGGAAGTATATACAATTATACTTGAGGTACTTACAAACAAGCCGAGCAAAGGGTCCCATGCAGACGTTTGTGTGCATGGGCACCACCAGGGCGGTGGCAAAACGTGGATACACACTTAAACGTGAAAACGATAGCAAAAAAAATGACAAAAAAAAAGACGAAAAAATAACGAAAAAGGTCACCAAAAAATAACAAAAAAAGGACGAAAAAATGACGAAAAAAGGAAAAGACTTCATAATATTGACAAAACTGCATTAATAAGGAACCTGCAGAATCACAAAAAATGAGCAACCCTGGCAAAATTAATAATGTTCCAAATTGGGAAGGGTGAACTTGAAAAGATAAACAAATGCGGCGCGATGTACTATGTGCAATGTGCGATGAGCAAGAATGCACTCGGCACAGGTGTGCTCACGGAGATCGAGTAAACCGTGCGAATGGATGTGTGCTAACATGACTCGCCTCATCGCAATATGTATATGCAACGCGCGCATAACATGTGCATACCTTCTGCTTAGGAGACTGACTGAACTTAATTGTGCTTAACGCTGTTTCCCACACTTAAGCTGACCATATGAAATACCAGTTGGGTGAGACTACACAAAATTCACCGGAGCGAAAACCAACTAGATGTTCTTAATTAAGTAATTTATTAACTCCTCCTGCTGCATAAAACTGTAGTCTTCATTTTTCGAATTAAAAATTTTATAATTAACGTCATTTAATTTTATTGGGTTGTGGGCATCGAAAGAGATGTTGCTTCCACTTGACTTGATCGAAATGATAAACCTTATCTTGTGCGACTTAAAATTTTTTATCTTCTTTTTCGTGCTTGCATTATTGATGGAAAAGTATATATACGAAGGGATGTTCTTGTGTAACAATTGTTTGGACAAATCATAGGCTATTAACAGGTTCGACATTTCGTGCACCTGAATAACCACCTTTGGGGATGAGTAACTAAATTGGCCACTGTTCAGTGGGGACTGTATTAAATTTGTTGAGCAGGAGAAAATATTTCGATGACTTGTGGACGGTAAGATATTTTTAAAAATCTGCGTCCTCTCCGATGTTGCTGTGGACTGAATATTTAGCGCCGGTTTTTCATTAGACTCTGTTACCTTTAGGAATATTTTCTCGACATAAATTTCTACTCCATAGGCTTTAATGTTTATCAGATTCAAATCGGTGCCACCACCGCCCGTGTCGTAGTCGACCCCGTA